CCCCCTCTAGCTCTGTTCCTGTGAATGTGGATAATAGCTTGGAATCTCCTAATAATATCCCTTGAAGCATTTGAAAGCAGTGAAGTCATCAGCTCATCAGCTCAACATTTTCATCTCTTAATAATGTAGATTGTCTCCTTATTTATCAAAAGGGTCTTTAATTGATCCCTTTCCTCAAATCACCAAGGAATAAGCCCAATTTTTAAAGACTTTGCTCTTAACAATTTAATGTTCAGGTTACCCTATGACTTTCTCATTTCTCTAAAGAAGTGGCAGTTACCTGCACAGGAATTTAGTTTGGAAAACTCAAATATTTTCAGAAAGTAAAATACTCAGTATTCCCAGTATCAGGAATAATTTCGGAAATCGCAAATTTTCCTTAAACATTTGATCTAAATTAAAAGTGGGAGTGAGAAGAAAGTGCTGGGACAAGCAGGTTTCCGTGCGCAAAAGAATGATGCTGGATCCATTTCGCAACACCATTTTAAAAATTAACTAAAAATAGATAGATGACCTAAATATAAGAGCTAAAATCATAGAATTCTTGGAAGAACACATAGGGTAAACTTTTATTGGATTTGATAATAGATTCTTAGATATGACACCAAAAGCAAGAGCAAAAAAGGAAAATAAAATAGATAAATTGGACTTCATCAAAATTAAAAACTTTTGTTCATCAAAGGACATTATCAGGAAAGTGAAAAGACAACTTACAAAATGAGGAAAAATATGTTTAAGTCCTATATCTGGTAAGGGTTTAATATCCAGAATATGTAAAGAACTCCTAAAACTCAGCAACAAAAGACAACTCAATTTAAGAAATGGGCAAAAGACTTGAATAGATATTTCTCTGAAGAAGCTATACAGAAGGCCAATCCACACATGAAAAGATGCTCAACATCATTAGTTATTAGGAAAGTGCGAATCAAAACTACAGTGAGATACCATTTCACACTTACTAGGATGAGTATAATTGACATGACAAGGATGTGGATAAGGCAAGGATGTTTGCAAGGATGTGGAGAAATTGGAACTCTTGTCCAAAACTTGTGGGAATGTAAAATGGTGCAGCCACTGCAGAAAACAGTTTGGCAGTTCCCCAAAAAACTTAACATAGAATTACCATATAACCCAGCAATTCCACTTTTAGGGATGTAGAAAAAAAGTTGAAGACAGGGACTCAAAAACACAAAGAATATCGTATGCCAATTATTGCATATCATTATTCTCATCAGCCACCAGGTGAGAAACAACCCAGGTTACATCAGCAGAGGAAAGGATAAACAAAATGTGGTATACACATACAATGGAATAGTATTCAGTCCTATAAAGGAATGAAGTCACCCTGATATAGGCTACAGCATGAATGAGCCTTGAAGACATTACAGTAATTGAAATAAATCAGACACAAAAGGACAAATATTGTGTGATTCACTTACATGAAGTATTTAGAACAGGCAAGTTCATAGAGATGCCAGGGACTAGAAGGAAGGGAGAATGGGGAGTTACTGCTTAATGGTTACAGAGTTTCTGTCTAGGGTTGAAAAAGCTTTGGAACTAGGTAATGGCAATGGTTGCACAATACTGATAATGCAGTTAGTGCCAATGAATTGTACACTTAAAAATTATTAAAATGGGAAATTTTATGTTATATGTATTTTACCACATTGAAAAATTGTCCCCAAAAATGTAGGTGGAAGGAAGTTTATTTGGAATATAAGGGAATAATAGGGGTTCCCTTATAAGCTGAATATTTAAAGAGAACTATTTATATAGGGAGTAGAAATAGGGATACAAGGAAGCATAACAAAATATCGATAATATTGATAATAATGTGTATCAGTGAAAAAAATTCTTGTATGATTTTTAATGATTTCCTGTATTGCCCACATTTTTACAATAAGAGCCTACAAAATTAAATCTGAAAAAAAAATAAACCTAATACAGAAGCACTGGGAAATCAGAGAGCCACCACTGTTTCATGTGTATATGTTTTTATAACAATTGAAGAAGGCTGTTTCTACAATCAACATTTACAAATCAAGCCAATCAATATACGTCTGGAGGGTTACCATGTGGGAAAATCATGTGGTGAATCCTCTTTGATCTTTCTTGCCTCTACATACAGGGCAGTGACTCCCCAAATTACCTCTAGTCCAAACCTCTCAGTAAAGATTTCACTCAGAGCTCTGCATGAAAGAGAGGCGAACAGAAACTACATAGACATGCTCAGAGTTTACATAGCTCTCTGCGTGGAGAGAATGCTGTAACGTGCGGACACCACTCTCTCTTCTGCAACCAAGGATCCTGGATTTTCTGGGACAACCTCTATGGCAAACATGCAAGCTAGTGCCAGATCTAGTGAAGACGTTTGCAGGTCTTCAGTTCAAACAATGGGTCCCAGTAACCATCTGGAAGGTGCAAGGACAGCTAATGCATCTGGCTTCTCTGCACCTTGGATCAAATGTCTGTTGCAGTCACTTGATTCTCACTACTCCAAATTATCAAGCAACTTTCTGAGTAATCATTTTCTTGCCAAGATTCCTTCAAGTGTTGAAGGAAGTTCTCCTGAGATTCGATACAAGAGTTCCAGTCCCTGGAGAGGTGCTTTATAAATCAGGCTCCCCCAGGCTTGGTAAATGTGGATGAGTCCCTTAGCGCTGACTCAGCTCGGGATGAACTAACAATACATCTGGCCTTTGAAACTTTGGGCCTGAGAACCAGAGTGCCTGTCCTTTCCTTGTTGCAGGATGTGCCATTGGCACGCCAGTAACTTGTCCCCACACGGGAGGCTTTTTTTTTGTTAAATTGAAGTATAGTTGATTTACAAAGTGTTAAATTTCTGGTATATGGCATAGTGATTCATTTATATATATACATATATATTTTCCTTTTCCTATTCTTTTTCATTATAGGCCATTACAAGGTACTGAATATAGTTCCCTGTGCTATATGGTAAGACCTTGTTGTTTATTTTATGTATAGTAGTTAGTATCTGCAAATCCTGAACTCCCAGTTTATCCCTCCCCACCCTCCTTTACCACCCTGTTAACTGTAAGTTTGTTTTCTATGTCTGTGAGTCTGTTTTTGTTTTGTATATAAGTTCATTTGT